CCGCCGCCGCCACCGGCGCGTGGGGCACGCGGTGCCGCTGCCCTGCAGCCGCCGCCGTACTACTACATGGTGCTCGAGTTCATCCGCGACAACGCCGTCGAGGGGACCGAGAATTTGGCGAAGCGCGAGCGTGTTGTGCTGTGCACTGACGACGCCCAGGACTTTCAGATCTGGCAGCAGTTCGTAGAATCCTACAGGTGCGCGGCGGACCGCCTCGACCGACTCGAAGGTGAGCGCGTGGTGGGGAGGTCGCGCAAGAAGAAACGGAGAGACAGCGTTGTGGACCGTCACGACGAGACAACAAGTGAAGACTTAGGNGCGCAAGAAGAAACGGAGAGACAGCGTTGTGGACCGTCACGACGAGACAACAAGTGAAGACTTAGGCGATGAGGTGGCGATGCTCATGAATACGCTACAGCTATGGCGGAAGCGGGCGCTGGGGCTACTTGAAGACGCCACACGTGCAGCTGCCGGCAGCAGCGAAGCGGCAACGGCAACGGCAATGGCGGCGGCGCCATGCATGATGTCAATTGACGAGAACATAGACAACAACTCGTGGAACGATTGTGTAAAAACGCTCATGGATGAGTTGCAGAAGAGGCCGGTGGAGCCGGTGCCTAGTTTGAATATGGTGCAGGATTCGCACGAGCGAACCTGCCTGCTACAGATGTGGAATGATTTACATAATAGACACTTTCCTGATAGTATTCCTCCTAAAGAGGATGAGATATACTCCGTGGAGGAGCAGCAGCAACGGGTAAACAGAGTAGATAATCTTATAGCAGCAGCGATGTCGCCAATATCGGTGACGGCCGCGCCCTCTAGATGTAGTGAGGTTGCTGTTGCTGCCGCTCCTACCGTAGACAACTTGCAAGCGGTGTGTCTAGGAATCGTGCGAGATTATGAATCCATAGTGGAGCTACTAGACAATGAGACAGAGATAGACAATTGCCGTGGTAGTGATAATAGTAGTAGTGATGCCATGAAACTACCTGAGAGTATACGACATGTCTACGATGCGATGCGCAGGCAATTAGAAAACACAGCGAATAGCGACGACGCTGACGGCATGCTCGCCCAGTTGCGTGCGGCCCGTCGCGCCTTAGATGTGGACCCCGCCGGGCCGCAGGCGACGCTGCAGCAGGGGCGTCAGCAGAAGAACATAGAGCGCGTGGCGCGTGACGCCCTCTTCGCCTACGCAGAGGCGACACTCGGCCTGCTCCAATCGTGCTACGATGAGTACGCGGCGATCCTCGACCGCCTTCTCTCCGCTGTGCGCGGCGGCAGTTCAGGCAGCGAGAAACTCGTCGTCTCCGCCGCCCATATCGAGGCGGTCGAGGCGCTGGAGGAGGAGCGACGCGCAGCGAAGGTGAAGCAGGAGGCACTGGAGAAGCTCATGGGCGAACTCGGGCGCGTGCGGCGCGAGCGCGACGAGGAAATTGGCGCGCTGCAGCACAACTTCACACGCGCCAAGGAGGTCTGGCAGAACGATCTCTCCGTCCTCCAGGCGAAACTCACAACGCTGCAGAGCAGCATGACACGAACAACGGTGGTGGTGCCCGCTAACAGCACCGCGCTGGCGTCGCCACGGCAAGAGCTGTACGGCGAGAACGAGGAGGCCATGCACGGCAGCGGTGACAACGACAACGACGCCATCACGCGGTGGGCAACCCGGCTTGCATGCAGCGGTGGCGAGCTGCGCGGCAGCATTGTAGCGATGCGGCTCGAGCGCTTCTTCAACTGGGCGCTGAAGAACGTAGTTCCGCTTTGCGCCGGCCACAACACCAACTGCATCTTGGAGCTCGTCATATGGGCGATGCGCAACCACATGGCGCTTCTGCAAACCGCCGCGCAAGTCTTTGGCAGCAACGCTATTGGTGATGACACCGAGACGGATCTTTGCAGCGCTCTGCAGTTTTTGCACCATAAGCACGTGGCGTTAGAACAACTGATAGAACACTGCGTCGGTGGCACAGACGACGGCACCTCCGACTACGCTGTGGTGGAGAGCCGACTGCGCGCTCTACAAGACTGCGATGCGTTGGTGCACAACATTCACAGTCTTCTAGGCACCACACGCAACGCGGACATAGAGCCGGAGATATTAGATCTCCTGCGTACTCGTGCTGAGATGGCCGACGTGCAAAACATAACAGGCGCGACCGACGACACGGTGGCCGTCGTTACGGCGCAACGTGACGAACTCCAGAAAATGAGGGACTCACTGCAACAACTCCTAGCAGCAGACGAAATCATGGGTGCAACAACAGAGGAATTGATCAAGCAGGTGCCAGCCCTGCACGCGACACAGGAAGCACTCGCACAAACGCAAGATTTACTTGAAACAACGGCGAACGAAATGGAGCTGCTCGCGAAGCAATCCGCACTGCAACACGACGAACTTGAGCAACGCATTCACCTCGTAAATCAGTACTTCACACAGCACCCATCCCACCAAAACACGACGGGTACAATCACAGAGGCAGCCGTAGCTTCTATCCTTCACACCGAACCTCAACACGCCACGAATAAAATTTCACAACTCCTCCAAGAACTNGAGGAGATGGGCAGCCAGCCGCTGCTGCCGCAGTGCCAGCGCATGGCGAACGAGATGGGCGCGCTGCGCGCCAGTGAAGAGCGCTACCGCTCGCTTGTGGGCGAGGAGGTTGAGTGTGGCGCCGCAGCAGAGGGCAGCGACCCGTCGACGCGTGCACAGTGCCTGCGCGGCATTGAGTCGGCGCTGGCGACCCTCGGCGTGGAGGACAGCGAGGAGCCCGCGGCGGCAGCCATTCTGAGGGCGGCCGAGGACGCCAAGGCGCGCGAGGAGGACCTGCACGGCAGGCTGGACGAGGCCGCCGAGCGTGAGCGTGTTCTGGAGGCGAAGCTTGGTCAGCTTGCTCACGCAGCGGATGACCTGCGCTCCGCACTGGACGGCGGTGCGCCAGTGGCCGACAGCAGCGAGGAGGCGACTGTCGTTGGCGACCGTGTGGTGGAGACACTGAAGCGACTGCAGGCTGGCAGCGCTGCGGCGTGCTCTGTCATGTCAGCGGCAATGCAGCAGGATGAGGAGATGGGCAGCCAGCCGCTGCTGCCGCAGTGCCAGCGCATGGCGAACGAGATGGGCGCGCTGCGCGCCAGTGAAGAGNCAGGACGAGCAGATGGGCAGCCAGCCGCTGCTGCCGCAGTGCCAGCGCATGGCGAACGAGATGGGCGCGCTGCGCGCCAGTGAAGAGCGACTATCTTTGTTAGTGATTCAGCTTGAGGATAGGATTAGGTTTTTTAGATTGGAGTTGGAGGAGATGGAAGATCGAGTTCTTCTTGTTGGCGAAGGAGTTTCTGTTCCTAAGCGTGTGGAAAAACTTCTTATGAAATCGTTTGTTACTCTTGGGGGGATTATTGGGTTGCTGAATTGCGATGTTGATGGTGTTTTGTCTTGTGTGGTAGATTTGATTGAGGCGCGGGATTATTTCTGTAGGCTGTGCGGTGGCGAGGATGTGTTGGCGGGTTCTGATGTAGAGGATGCTACAAGGGCGGAATGTGTGCACGTAATGAAACGGGCTATTGCACGTCTTTCCCCTAGTGTTTTGGAGGACTCGACGCTCCGTCTTCCTGTGAAGATGCAGCGGTGTGTGCAGGAGACGATACAAGAGCTTGAGCGGCTGCGTGATGGTACGGAGGAGGCGTCTGATCTTGTGGTGAAACTTCAGCAGGATGTGCAGACACTGATGAACGCCGGCGAAGCATCACTTCGGCTGCTTCGGGGTGATGCGTCTACAACTATGGCTGTTTCAGGTGGAGGTGCAGGCGAGGGTGGGAGTGGGCGTCTGAGTGTGTCTCTACTTGCCCGCTCACTTGTGTCGTATGCCGGTGATAATGCCGGCCGTTTGCGTGACCTCCGTGCCGCTTGTGATGAGTGTAGCGGTATTCTTGCGCAGGCTCGGCGGTGCGAACTCCCCAGCACCTCGCTGAATTCCTCGACAGCATCCTCCACTGCGGACGCAACTTCTGAGCTGCTGCTAGTGGACCATTGTAGGGAAATTGTGAACGAGCTGCTTGTGCTACGTGCAGGGCGTCGTTCGAGCTTGGCTGTGATGGAGCGTGGCGCCGCCGAGAGTGAGCAGCTGGTGGCGGCCGCACACAGCGCGGTGGAGGCGCTGTCGTCGGCGCTCGATGAGAGTAGCAGAACAACGGCAGCAGCAGCTTCGGTTGGGGCGTTGTGTGCGCAGCTTGAGTCGTGCGCTTACACCGCGGCAAAGCAGCTGCGTGAGCGGGACCGTCTCATGCATGCGAGCGCGGCTCTGCTCCAGGAAGCGTTGGCGCCTGGAGTTGATTGTATTAGTCCGCGTGGGGGCGAGGTGCTGCTATCGATTGCGGGCGATGCTGTCCGTGCGCTGGAGGCGGGTCGCGTGGAGCTTGATAGCGTACGTGGTGCGCTCGAGCAGTCGCGTGGCCACGTGGAGGAGCTGCAGCGGCGCGTGGAGAAAGAGGCGTGCGACCACCGTGCCTCAATGGTGGCGCAGGTGCAGGCGCATGACGAGACACAGAGCCAGCTGAAGGAAGCGATGGAGCGGCAGGTGGCCGCCACAGCTCATGCAGCGAAGCTCCTGCGCACACTCGCAGGGTTTTCTGGAAGCGTCGCTGCGATCACGCTGCACAGCGGTCTGGCGAAGGAAGGGGGCACAGGCACAGCAGAGGAGCGGCCACAGGACCAGGAACAACAAGAGGCGGTGGAGGTGCAGGATAGTGATGTGGTAAGCAGAGAACGGTTAGACGCCATTCTTGCGCACTGTGCAGACATCATGATGGAGCTGGAAACAACGAAGGCCAGGGCGAAGCTTCTGGCATCGGAGGCGGACGAGCTGCGCGGAAGGCTGCGCGACAATGAAGATGCCATGCGTGAGCTCGAGTTCCAAGTGCGCAGCGTAGAGGCAAAGGCCGCCACTCGTGGCGCGGAAATGTCAGACGAGACGGCCTTCCTCCGGGACGCCCTCGCGGCGAGCGAGGCGGAGTGCGAGAAGATGCAACAACAGGCGCAGGCGCTGGAGAGGCGTCTTGACGGACTTCGGGCTGAGATGGCGGAGTCCGTCCGCTCGCACGGCAGCGAGCGCGACAGTCTATCCAAGGTGCACTCCTCCCTGCTCTCTGAGAACCAGGAAATGCAGCAACAGCTGGAGCAGCTTGGCGAGGAGCTTCGGGCAGGCAGAAGAGAAGTGCAGGGGTTCCTGCGTGAGAGTCAGGCGTCATCGCTGTCTGAGGCGGCACTGCGGTCGCGGGGCGCCGCGGCGGAGGCGGCCCTCGGCCTGCTGGCCCGCGA